CCTTCACCTTCAGAAATCAAATTACTTCCTGATGGTCAGGAAAGATAGTACTGGTTGGTATTTTGAGGTGAGATGTGAACCTTTCCTGGTACCACAGAGCTTCTTGACCCTGCCTCTGAGAAATTTTTGTCAGAATCAATAAGATATCTTTCCTTTCTCCTTCATCGCCTCTGTTTTCATCATTTGATATACTTCAAATATTTGACTTGCGCTTTCCAAGATCATGACTGAGGAAATTTGTTACATATCCTTAGACAATTACAGACTCACAGCTATTAGTCTTGGAAAAAATTTTCTCAGATGAAATTGAGAATTGGAAGGTGGAAATGACATGCTCAAAAGTAAACAGCATTAAGCAGAACTGAAGCCAGAATCAAGTTTTCAGGATAATACCTTTTTGGTATAGAAAGTAACTTTTTCAGAGGAGGACAAAAATAATGGTAGAATAATACTCTTTTTGTTCCCTTAAAAATTGAAAAAAAAATATGACTTTTTCTGCCCATGATGTTGGTACAAATTTACAGAAAATACAGGAATGTAAAAACATGTAAGAAAAGTCAAGATTTTTAAAATAAAGTTAATCATGATTAAATTTTCTTTTACACATACACAACACACACACACACAAAACTATTATTATAGGCAAGAAACAGAAAAGGCACCTTTTTGGATTTTGAAGATACTAAAGTGAAGAGACAACAGACTTAAAAGAAACTGTAGGGGTGTTGGAACATCCTTGGACTAACAATAGAGGTTACAGGAAAGGCAATATATTGGAGCTTAGGGAGAGCTGGAGTGGCAGTGGAAGAATAGACCATAGTCTTTCCTCCTTCCATGTGAGAATTTGAGCTGTAGGTTATTTCCTAACTGCTTGCCTGGCAAATTTGATGAGGCAACTTTATTTCTCTTAAAAATGACCCCTGGGTTGTAGAATTACAGAGAGCTGAAGGGAAAGCCATACTTTGTGCTTCCCTTCATGCAGTGATTGTTGTGGCTGGACATGTCCCTTGCAAGAACTATGGATGCTGTGTCCTATCAGTCATTTCAAGAGATGAACCTTCTGTGGGATCTGAAGCTTTTAAATTAGAGTAGTTTCCTTGACCCTTCTACCTGTTATAGACATAGACTGCAGAAAAAACACCCACTGAAGAGCTAGACTTGACCTGCCCTGCTCTGTTTCCTGTCCTATATCCTTTGGAGGAGACTGGCAGCAATTATGACTTTATTCATCTTTGAGGATAATGTCTCAGGAGGACAGGGATGATCCCACATGTCCCCAGGGCACACCTGAGAGATGAGTCATGGAACAGGTTTGCAAGGCAAGAAGCTGCTATCCAGTGAACAGTCCTCTTGCTATTTATTTTGTAATAGTGAAAAGCATGATTGATTATATGACAATGTCAGGAGTAACGGGGTGCAGGGGAAAAAAAGGGCATTCATCTTTTGGGTAGCAGGACTTCAAAGGGATCAAAGGGCAAAGGGTGATCAGTTTTTTTAAACGATTTATTTATTGATGCATACAGAACTGGGGTACAGGTCAGAGTGCAGGGGCAGTGAGAGGATTCACCAGAATCAGAGTGGGGAGCAGAACAGGCAGATCGATGAAGTACACTGCTGAGGGGAGCAGTGGGCAGGTCAGGAGAGGTCTGCCACGCCATGAGGATCACCTCCGGGGAAGGCGGGTTTCGAACTCATGCGGAAGTGGCTTTAGCTTCGTAGTGCTTTGCTTTAACTCACTGCGCCACCAGGGAGGGCCCCAAAGGGTAATCAATTTTATGGGCAACAGTGGAGGACATGGTGGCTGTACAGGGAGTATTTCTCATGCAGGTACATGATATAATTTCCAGCTACTCCCAGACTGTCTTGGACCCTGACCACACAATCTGTCAGTAGTTACCTAGGTGTCCCTTGCCATCTTGTGATATGGGTCGTCCTGTCAGGGTGGTCATGTGGGAGTGCCTAGTCCAAATCCTCTCTACACGTAGATGCGTAAAGCAGTCATAGCACACAGGTGCAGAGGCCCTAGGTGGAAGAAAGGCCACAACAAATGTCCAGTTAAATCTAAGAAAATCCTCCCAATGGGCACCACAGGGATATAGAACTGCCAAAACTGTAATGCCAAAGTAAGGAGGGGATGGGGAAAATATTCCAAGCTCTCTCCTCCTAACCTCCAAACTTCTAATATTCCTTCCCTCATGTTGACTAAACCATTCCACAAGATGGAGGTGGTAAAGACTGCTTTTCCTAATAGTTTGTCATTTTCATGTTGACAACATACTTAAAACTGCTATGAACATTTGTGTACAAGATTTTGAATCATACATTTTAAAATCTCTCAGATAGATTGACAGGAATGGAGTTGCTGGTCAGTATTTAACTTTTTAAGAATTGCCAAATGATTTTCCAAAGTGGTTGTACCATTTATACTTCTACTAAGAGTATATGAGATTTGTATTTGTTCATACCTTTCCATACCTTTCCTACCTTTGTATTTGTTAGTAATTTTTTTTCGACCTGGACCATTATGGTGGGTGTGTAGTAATAGCTTATTGTGATTTTAATTTTCATGTCCCTAGTGACTTACTGATGTTGAGGGCTTTTTAAAATGAGCTTATTTTGTCATTCTCTTATCTTTTGTGAAGCATCTGTTCAAAAATTTATTACCATTTTATCATTAAGCTGTATAAATTCCATATATATTCTGGATACATGTTTTTTGTTCAATTTTTGTTTTAGGATGTTTTCTTTTAAGTTTATGCCTTGTCTGTTTTCTTAGTGGTAGCTTTAGATAAGCAAAACTTAATGATGAGATCTGATTTACTTATTTTTTTCTGTGTTGCCTATATAAGGATTAAAAAAAAAAAATTTGGGGCCCTCCCTAGTGATGCAGCGGGTTAAAAGCATAGCATAGCACTGGGAAACTAAAGCCACTTCTGCATGAGTTCGATCCCTGCCTGCCGGGAGGTGATCCACATGGCATGGCAGACCTCTCCTGACCCACCCGCTGCTCCCCTCAGCAGTGTACTTCAATGATCTGCCTGTTGTGCTCTCCACTCTCTCTAGTGAAACCTCTCACCACCCCTTCACCTCTGGCCTGTACCCTAGTTCTGTATGCACAAATAAATAAATCTTTAAAAATGAAAACAAAGAACATAGTTGTATATTGTTTAAACTATACTCTGTTTTCTATTTTAAAAAATGATTGAATTTACAATTAAAATCCAACTTGGGTTTTTCTTTTTAAAAAATATGTTTATTTTTACAACATTTTGTGTATTATTTCATCTCAGTTGTAATCCCCGTAGGCTTCCCATCACCAAATCACCCATGTCCTTCCCCCCACTGTTTTTGATCCCATTCCCCACTCCACTGCCATAAAATGTCTCTGGTATATAGCTGTTCATCATTATTATTTTCTCGCCTGGTCTTATACTTCTGCTATGAGTGAAATCATCGGGTATTTTTCCTTTTCTTTCTGGCTTATTTCACTAAGCATGATCTTTTCCAGCGCCATCCATGTTGCTGCAAAAGGCATGTGTATATATATTTTGGCTGCTGAGTAATATTCCATTGTGTATATGTACCACATCTTTTTAATCCAGTCATCTACTTTTGGGCATTTGGGCTGTTTCCATGTCTTTCCAATTGTAAATAAAGCAGCAATAAATATGGGAATGCAAGTATCTTTTTGAATCCGTGTTTTTGTGTCTTTTGGGCAGATACCTAAGAGTGGGATTGCTGGTCATATGGAAGTTCCATTTTTAGCAGTTTGAGGAAACTCCAAACAGTTTTCCATAATGGTTGTACTGGTTTGCATTCCCACTGGCAGTGCAGGAGAGTTCCGTTTTCTTCACATCCTCACCAATATTTGTTGTTGCTAGTTGCTTGAAGATGTGCCATTCTCACTGGGGTGAGCTGATATCTCATTATGGTTTTAATTTGCATCTCCCTTATTAGAGTGATGTTGAACATTTTTTCATATGCTTGTTGGCCATCTGCATTTCCTCTTTGGAGAAGTGTCTTTTTAGCTCTTTTGCCCATTTTTTGATGGGGTTGTTTATTTTTGTTGAGTTTCATCAGTTCTCCGTATATTTTTGTGATCAGTCCTTTATCACTTTTTGTGTGAGAAAATGTTTTCCCAATTAGTGGGCTGTCTGTTTGTTTTTTTGTAATGTCTCTTTTGCTGTACAAAAGCTCTTTAATTTGATGTAGTCCCATCTATTTTTCTTTGCCTTCACTATTGTGGCATTGGGTGCTCTGTCTTTAAAGATGTCACTGAAGTGTATGTCGTGTTGTCACCTAGAAGTAATAGTAACTCAGAGAGAATATGACCCTTTTTATTCAGATGTCCCCAATAACAATACTTGCATAATATAATGCTCATTCTTTTCAGAGGACATATTTAATTCACATTTGTTAGGCACAATGATTTGTAGTATGCCTCCTGTGTACTGTGATTAAAGCTTAGGCTCGATCTTGTTATTATCATAATACAGACATAAAATGGAAGCTCAGAGAGGTTAGCTAATTTCCTTAGGTCATCTTAGTCTGAAATCAGATATAGAACCAGGATTTAAAACTCTTCACTTTCCAAGTCCAGTTCTCTTACACTGCTACACAACTGCCTCTTGTAACATGGTTGGGCAAGATTCTCCGCACCCTATTATTTATCTATGATGAACGTCAAGTCCAGAGAAACTGATTTCCCAAGGTCCTAAAATGGTAAATATCAGAGCAAGAGCAGAGCGCAGGTGCCTGTTTCCCAGCTACTGCTCTTTTTACCCTTGTCTTCTTGCGTTCTAGATGGTTGAGTTTGTTTCTCATGTTTAATGTGCAGTTGGACTTATCCCCACTCAAAGGAAGAACTTAAAGTGCTAGATCGTTTTGAGGGGAAGATATATTGTTTGAGAGCCTAACCCAGTCTTCAGGGCTCAGTTGCTTTGGCGCAGTGTGTGGTGGTACATTTTCAGCTTGTGCATGATTTTTTTTTTTTCAATTAGTTACCTGACCTTAATGGTGATAACAGAAATATGGAAATAACTCCAGGAGAAAAGGTACTCAGGAATACCAAAGAACAACGAGATGAGCAAAATCGACTGAGAGAGATAGATGAACAGCTGAGAAAGATGAAACACAATGTGGTAAGCTTTTAAAGTTTAATTATTTAATGATTGTATTTTAAAAGGTTCCATTTCCTTTGACCTTTTTATGTGTTAAATCAATCAAGAAACCTCACATGGGACTGTATCAATAACAGTTGAATAAAAGCTTAAAATATGATCCATAGATCTTAAAATACTATCATATTCAATTTATATGATATAGTAAACCTGTAAAATACTTTCCAGACTCAGAATGATGGTCCATATGTCCAATAATCTGTGTCTGACAGTGATATAAATGTTGTTTTTCTGTGGAAAAATTGAATAGTAGTTCTCCATGACATTATCTTTGCATACTAAATTTATAGCTTAGTACTCCCAATTTTTGTTTATGACATATTATTATTAATTAATTTTAATGCATTCTAAATCCTTGAGCCTATTTCATGTTTCCAATTGCTTGCTTGCCATTTGATGATATAGTATTGTTGATAAGAGGTAGATCTTAAAGCAACTAAATTATGAGTTGGTTGCCATTTTGACTCTATTGGAAGTACCTTATTACATGTTATGATTTTCTAGGTAGACATAGGATGTGTCCAACTGATATTTGGATTTTACCTAAAATTAATCATAGCAGGCTGAACATAGGATTCTACTTAGTACTCTCTCCTAGAGATGGTCTTGTTGTGACTATAAGGAACATCATTTTCTGTTTTCTGCTAAATCTGTTTTCTGTTTTCTGCTAAACAATAGTCTGTTCTTGATTCTTCATTAAGTATTAATCAGTACATCTAATTTGTTTCAAGATAGGGTTCAAATGGTTAACTTTTGTTTTTTTTTTTTAAAGATTTATTTATGCATATAGAACTGCGGTACAAGGCCAGAGGTGCAGGGCCAATGAGAGGATTCGCCAGAGTGGGGAGCAGAACAGGCCAACTGACGAAGTACACTGCTGAGGGGGAGCAGTGGGCAGGTCAGGAGAGGTCTGCTGCACCATGTGGGCCACCTTTGGTGCCAGGGATGGAACTCATGCTGAAGTGGCTTTACTTGGTGCTGCATTTACCCACTGTGCCATCAGGGGTTAAATGGTTAACTTTTAACTACTCTGGTACACTCACTACCTTTCTTCTACTTATTTATTTTTTAAATTT